TTGATTCTTAAACTCACCTTACACCCCTTGACGATCCCCTATTTTCTGATGCCACTTTATATCGTCAGCTAGTTGGCAATCTTGTCTATCTCACGGTTACTCGTCTAGATATTACTTATGTTGTTCACATTGTTAATTAGTTTATGGTTGCCCCTCGTTCTCCATACTATGATGCCCTGGTTCACATTTTGCGCTATCTCAAAGTAACTCTATTTTATGGTCTACAGCTGCATGCATTTTCTGATGCCGATTGGGCAGGGGATCCTACTGACCGTCGTTCTACTACTGGCTTCTGCTTCTTATTGGGTAACTCTCTCATTTCCTAGCGTAGCAAGAAGCAAACCCTTGTTGCTCATTCTAGTACAAAGGCTAAGTATTGTGCTCTTGCTGACACTATTTAAGAGCTTATGTGGCTTCGTTAGCTTCTTTCTAACATGGGTGTTTTTCATTCTGCTGCCACCAATCTTTAATGTGACAATCAAAATGCTATTCAGATTGCATATAGCGATGTCTTCCATGATCGCACCAAGTATATTTAGATTGATTGCCACTTCATAGGACATCATGTTACTAGTGTGGCCATGTTCGTCATCTCTTTGTTACCTCTGCAGATCAGACTGCTGACGTCTTCACCAAAGCTCATCTTCCAAGACGCTTCTCTGATCTCCTCTCCAAGCTCAAGTTGATATCTGACTTACCATCTTGAGCTTGAGGGGGGCTGTTAGATATATATTATTATTTAATACTTATCTATATGTATTGTAGATATATCTCATTTCCTTTTCTATACTTATCTCTAATATATCTCTATCTCATTTTATATACTTATCTAGATTTCTTCTCAGCCTATATATATAGGTTTCTTGTATTTCATTATTCAATTCAATATACAGTTTCTCTTTTCTCTCTCTTTCTACTTTCATAACAACCACAACAGTTAAGTCCAACAAAAGGCCCTTTGAAGGGCCATTCACGTAAGGGTGAGTAAGGTTCACGTAAAGAGAATATCAAAGACCAAATCAGCACCTACAATTTCATAAAATTTGGAACTAAATTATAAGAATCGCAAAATCAAATCAAATAGAATGATTGAGAAGCAATCCGATAACCTGCCATCATTCACAATTTGCTCAAAATATTGTTAAATGCATTAAGCATCATGCAAACTATATCATTTGCAAACATTAAGCAACTAGTCAGCATTGACATTTCTCCAAAAAAAAAAAAATGCAACCTGTGTGGGTGATTTTCTGACCACACTGCCTGCCTAGTAATCAGCTGGAAAAGCACTAGCAGAATAGATGGCTTCAGCTAACCTGTAACAGAAAGAAAAGGCTCCGGCGGTAGCTCTTCCACCCGGAGGCACTCCGACGATCAAGTCAGTATATCTCTCAAAGATAATCAAGTGCTAAACTCACAAGCTTAAGCATAAAATTGCGTACCTTAGACCTACGGGGGTGCCTTTCTTTTATAGCCAACATAAATCTAGACCACTAGAAGCCTGACTTCTATGGATTCCCATTCAGTGCTTACTTTGGATTTCACAAGAGATAAAGATAAACTCCCTAAGAGTTTTATCCTTATCATAGCAAAGTTCCCTTTTACTCTAGGACTCTTGCCCCTTATCCATTTATCTCGGATTCCGATATCTTCGGAGATAATCTCGGCCTTGTCGAGATAACCTCGGCGTCACAACCAGGACACGTGGCACCTCGGCTGACACGTCGGCATCACCTTGCCACGTGTTGGTATTCAGAAAATATATCCCCACACAACCTCTTATCACTTTTCAAACAACAAACAACATGCCATCATTAAAAACAAAAATAAAAATAAAATCTAAACTTTAATTACACAACTAAATTGTTCATGGTCATAAACAAGAGTATTGTTAAGCAACCATTGTTCAATATGGTTATCTTGGTAAAAGCTATCAGATTTATATATATATATATAGAGAGAGAGAGAGAGAGAGTTAGTTTTGTAATTGTATACTACAAATGTGATAAATAAGTTTTTCGATTTTTTTATTTAGCCTTACATATGTACGAAGCTTGAAATCAAGAGCCACCTTCTTGGTTTCAGGAACAAGTTCCAAAATGGCACTACTATTCCCCTTCCCAGAACCATTATTTCCCCATTTCAGAAGAGGTTTTTTTTTTCACCAAATATGATTTTCTGGCTTTGGGTCCTCAAATGGATCAAACTACTTACATTTTTCCACAAACACATAAAGGGCTGAAGAAATTCAAGCTTATTATGTGTCTTGAGAACAGTTTCCATTGAATTTCAAATATGGGTATCAATTACTCAAGAGAAGTGTCAACTTGATAACACAATATGGGTTTTAAGAACTTCCTTCCCCAATTTCTCACCTGAATTATAAACTTACGACAACAAATAAATTTTTAATTTCAGAATGCACACATAATGAAATGGGTCTGTACAAGAACTCAGAGATTCAACATACAGTTGTAGGAGCATCAACACAAAAAAGAAGACGATAGATAACTGATTTTGCAACTGTGAGCTTTATAAAGGTTTATACAAATACAAGATGTATATTGAAGCCAAGTTTGTTGAACTAACAGGACAAACCAGATATTTAGACTTACCATGAAGTAAGAGGTGGAACTTTAAAATACTAAACAAGTAAATATTCAAAGATGAAAATTATTGATAAATTTGATTTATGACTACCAAGCATAAATTAGCATATTTTTACCACCACGGAGACAACTGTAATTTTTGTGAGTATTATTGCAATTTTGATGACTTGAAGGTATTTCATAATTTTGTGAAATCTTGCAAGTTGTATCCAAGTATAAACACTCGTACCATTGTGTTACACATAAAAACCAATTAATGTTACCTCTCTTAGTTATTACTAATATCAACTTCCCTCCTCAACTTTATATCACAGACTCTAACCGGGATATGACTTCCTTTGTGCTGCAAAAAAATTGTTGTGTTGATCCACTCCATACATCTCGTAATCACTCGGACTCTAGTCTGTTGAAAAGTTAAAGGGTTATTGAAGTCCTCTTCATATTGAACAACCAACCCCCAATTACTGCCTATGCTTCGAACTGTCGTGATACTCCATAAGTTAATGGGGATGCCAAAACAATGCAGCCATACACACCTCTCTTGCTCTAAGAACTGGCCTTTGTCCCACTCAGTGATTGATTCGCACCACTACTTTCCCCACCTCTGCAACTCTTTCATGCCTTCCTGCTTTTGCTGTTCTGTGGGAAAAGTTACCAGAACTAATTTACCTCCCCCCTCTCTAGCAATTACATCTTTCATGCCTCTGCATCTCATTTCCTCTTTAAATGCCTCGAATGCTAAGAAACTGTTCAACTGAACTAGTAGACTTTCACTCCCCCACCCATTCCCTTCCTCAAAGACTTTTAACACCACCGTATCCTTATCCCTTACTTCATCACTTAGTACTGCCTCTGCATAGGATTTCTGGACTCCCTTTCCTTTCCACTGCTTTGATTGCACCCACCGATTCACTATACGACCTTCATCTTCTCTGCTCTGCCCCTTAGACTTCTATTGCCCCACTGACAGTGGTTTTTGATACTCAGCACACTTGACCCTTAGTGCCTTGTTTCCACACCACAAGCCATCTACCTTCTGAATCGCCACCCGTGCGGCCACCTCACAGTCGTATCTAACAAACCCAAACCTAGAATTTGTTGCTTTCCTCCTCTTCCCCGGGATGAACACATCTTTGACTAGACCAAACTTCCGAAAAAGATTGAACAAGCCTGGAAGATCCATTGATTCAGGGATGTTATCCACGAAAACTGTGATCAGAACTCCTTCCCTTGACTAACCACGATGATTACCCACGCTTCTCCTTCGAATGAATGGGTTCCAGCCCCCCCGATCCAACTCTCTTCTCATTTTTTGTATCGAGAGTATTTTTGCAATCTTTATCCTACTTGAAACCTTGTATTGGTTGTCGTGATTGTTAACCTTTTTGTAAGAGAAGTGTCAACTTGATAACACAATATGGGTTTTAAAAACTTCCTTCCCCAATTTCTCACCTAAATTATAAACTTACAACAACAAATAAATTTTTAATTTCAGAATGCACACATAATGAAATGGGTCTGTACAAGAACTCAGAGATTCAACATACAGTTGTAGGAGTATCAACACAAAGAAGAAGATGATAGAGAACTGATTTTGCAACTGTGAACTTTATAAAGGTTTATACAAATACAAGATGAATATTAAAGCCAAGTTTGTTGAACTAACAGGACAAACCAGATATTTAGACTTACCACGAAGTAAGAGGTGGAACTTTAAAATAGTAAACAAGTAAATATTCAAAGATGAAAATTATTGATAAATTTGATTTATGACTACCAAGCATAAATTAGCATATTTTTACCACCACGAAGACAACTGTAATTTTTGTGAGTATTATTGCAATTTTGATGACTTGAAGGTATTTCATAATTTTGTGAAATCTTGCAAGTTGTATCCAAGTATAAACACTCGTACCATTGTGTTACACATAAAAACCAATTAATGTTACCTCTCTTAGTTATTACTAATATCAACTTCCCTCCTCAACTTTATAAATGTACATTTAAACCTCTCAACTATCGAAATTGTTTCACTCTCAACCCTCAGCCGCTCCAAAAAGACTGCAAAAATAAGGTTTGGTGATAGAATTCTGAGGCAATCTGCCCAAACCAAGCCAAACACCTAATGGAGCCTTGGATAAAAATCATGTTGCCCTCACAATCTAATTATTTGTACAATGTAGCAATAAAATTCATTTACGCTGTTTTTTATTAGGAGATTTGGAAAAAAATTTGGAAACAGAAAAGTAAAAGGCAAGTGAAATATAAATAAAATATAATGTTAAAGAGAAGCATAAAACAAAAGTGAACCACTATAAAGCCATGCGAGAGGCAGAGAAAACAAAGATTAAAAATATATATCATAAAAGCAACAAATAATATATATATATATATTTTTTGGGGGGCGGGGGGGAGGGTTAATTTTTTTTTGCATGAAATGAAAGATATATATGGTCAAGGCTTGAACTGTTTATCAGCCTTTCTTCTGGCACGCCTTTCTCTTGAGCTAAGAGATGACTTGAATCCTCCTCCATTCTCAGATTCTTCTGATTCATCTAAATCTCTGAAAGTTTTCTGCACATTTTGAAGTAGTAACAAAATTTGTATTATACAGTTATGCCAAACAATTAATCAGCCAAACAATTAATCAATCAGACAAGTGTTGCACCCTTATTATATATTTCTAGAGAGAGATAGAGAGACTAGAAACCGACCTCTCCAATCTCAGCAAAGCTGACAGCATAGAAGGTAACAGCTGCTGCTGCTACAATTCCAAGTACAGGAAGGGCTATTTGCATTCCATCCATATCTTTTTTCACCTATTAAGGGGATTTTTGAGGAGATTAATTGAGATAATTTTCTTCTCTAATAAATATAAATATGCCAAAATTAAAAAATTATGAGAGATAAGATGTAGTCCACTACGAGACAAGAGATAAGATGTACTCCATCCAATTTTCAATAGAAAAATGTCACGTTTGTGGCCATGTTGCATAATTAGAATCATGTTTGATAAAAATAATAGGAAACTTACGTGTAGGTCTTAATAAGTGGACTTATTATTTAATGGGTCCTGTAGAAAAAATTTGTCATAAAAAAAACGTTACTAATTGTAAATTTTTTCAACAATTAATAAAAATCATGACAAAAAAAGTTACTAATTGTCAATGGTCAAGAAGGAGAGAGGGGGGACAATGAAAGGGGCAGAGGGGAGCCATTGAGGTAGAAAGAGGTGGAGGTTGGGTTAGAAGGGGCTTGTGAAGGAAAAAGGGAAGTTTAGGGGTAAATTTGAATAAGTGAAAATGAGAGAGAGGAGTTGAATTTGGGTTTGGATTTTGGATCTTAAAATTGGACAAAAAAATGATTTTGGAAATAATTGGGAAAAATTACAAATATTAAGGGTCAAAATAAGAAAAAGTGCTTTAAAGACCAAAGTACAATTTATTCATTTTATGTTAGGTGCATTTTCCGTTGGACAAAAGTTAGTTTTAAGAGCAATTTGAAAAAAAAAATTACAAATGTTAAGCACGAAAGTGAACAAAAAAATATTTTAAGTAAAGTGGGAAAGTATAAAACTTAAGTCGGTAAACTATAATTTACCCAATTTTGATGTCAACTTAAATATTTATAATATTTTATGTAACTTGTTATAGATTAGTGGATTACGCTTCTGATAATGCCCTGAACCTAGGGAACAGCCCAAAGTGTGTTTTTTATTTTATGGTATGGTTTTTCATAACATAAATTGGGTTCCACATCCTTACGTGTGTCTCTTAATAATTTTGTAAGGTTTAACACTCTCTGGCTTTAGCTAAATTCAAGAGAGGCTGCTAAGTAAAAAGTAAGTCACAACCTTCAACTTAATTAAAACTGGAATTTCTATCAGTTTTATTGTTAAAGATTCAATATATATATATATATATATTGTTTTTTTTTGTGTGTAGTGGTTTGTTATATTAAAATTGTAAAAACTTATATTTCATACTCTTTTTAAAATATCTTAATTTGTATTATTTAATAAACATAGTATACTTTTAAGTCTCTTTTATATATAAATTTGTGTATTGTTAAATTATTTGTTACTAAATAATATTTTTGATACATATATAATATTTTTACCATAAATTTAAAACGGTATCCAATAACCTACCGATACCAATAGATACCATACTAATGAAAAAAAAACAATATCCAATATGATATTAACAACTTTGATAATAACCCATCATCATCCCATATGGTTGCCAAATAATGCAACCCAACTACTGCCAAATGAACCCAGAGTTGAGATTAGTCGCTTTCTTCATCAAAAATTTAATGACGGAGTCAAAAATTTAATTCAGAGGCAACCATTAATTCCAACCTCTAAAATTTTGAGTTAATTTTTACGCATAAATACTTAAATATTCATTACAAAGGTTTTTAAGTTAATTATAGCAATTGACTCAATGATAGTATTATCAATGCCATAAAAAATAACGACAAATCAAACTTGCCAATTTTAGTAAATCAAAATTCTTAATTCTAGCACAAATTCAACACAAATCAAAATCTCTAAGTTCAGCTTATCAAAATCAATAACTTTAGAATAAATAAATAATCACAAATAAGAATCGCCAATTGTAGCCAATCAGACTACATCATTTTTAAGAACAAATAACCATAAAATCAATATATCTAATTTTTATGTGAGAGAGAAAGACAAGAAGAGAGGATGTTACTTGTAAACAATGTGTTGTTTGTGTACTGTAGAGTGAGAAACAAGCAGAGCCCCAAATTGATTCAAATGTATGTCTTCACTGCATTTTCATTGAATGAAATAATCAAGTTCAAAAAAAAAAAAAAACTAACCATAGGCAACAAGGAGAGAGAGAGAGAGAGGAAAATAGAAGAAAAATATGAAGGGAGGGGGGAGACGAGACCTGATAGAAAATGGTGGGTGCGGATGGCATTTTTGTCAAAAAAAAAAAAAAAATTATTCAAAAAATTATAATTTCAAAATTTTATTTATATATTTTTAAATATCTTTTCATATTATTTTAGAAAACACGTGATTGTCTGGTTGCCCAAATTAAAAAATAAGTGTAAATAAAAAATTTGATTGTCACGGGTGGAAGATGATTGGTAGTAACCCAAGGTGATTGTTAGTCACAAAAAATAGTGGTCAAAAGTGATTGTCAATAGCTAGAAATAGTGGTCAAAGCCACCTAAGATAATATTTAACAAAAAATTAGTAAAATATCTCTCTCCAATTTTGAGTAGTAGGAGAGGTGAAATTTATGTTTGGCAAAATTGTTAAAAACTTCAATCTAATACTTGCGTAAGGCATTAGGCCTAGTGGATATTTTTTGTTGGTGGGAAGTCCACTCTTTGTGAAATAGTGAGAAATTCTTTTGTTGTTTTGGAGGATATTTTATTTTTAATTTTACCTTTTAACTTATATGTTGTATTTTCAATTTTACCTTTTAACTTATATGTTGAATTTTTTTTATCTGTTCAATTTTTTTAAATCTATCTGTTGAATTTTTGATCTATCTATTAAAATTTATTAAACTTATTTTTAATCTATCTACTCAAATTTTGAATCTATCTATTGAAATTCTTTTTATTTGTTGAAATTCACCAAGATAAAATCTATTACAAATTTTTATCTATACAAATTGATTTCACTAACCTACTTTTTTTTCTTTCTCTATCACTCTCTCACTCATCCTCATCTGTTTCTCCCTCTATCTGTTGGTTTCAAATCTCAAGTTCTCATACCCTCTCTTTTTTTCTTCCTCCTCTTTCTCGTCTCCCCTCTCTCTCTCTCTCTCTCTCTCTCTCTCCACAAATACACTTTATCTTCTCTCTCTATCTATCTCTTTCTCTCTCTCTATAAGAACTTGAATTAGATAGTTTGTGTGATTATTTTGTATAGAGTAAGAGAAAAATACATTTCCAGTTAGGAAGAATTCTGAGATACTTCGAGAGTTTGTAATTTGTTTGAGATTATTTGAAAAAAAAAAAGTGTTTATTCAAATTGTTTTCCTCTCTTTCTATACCATCACAACCAATATACACTCTTCTCCTACTTTCAACAATGGTATTAGAGCCATAAGAGCCTGGAAGGTCGAATTTCTACAAAAACAGAGGCAGAAGAGAGCGATTTTCAAAATTGCTTAGAAATCAAAGTTGTTGAAATTAACTTTTGATCATACCAGTATGTAGGTCTCATTGAGACAAGCACACAAGAAAAAATCGCGTAAAAAATAGACACCGGAGCAGATCTCACGCGCCCCACGCACTAGTATACGTCATTTCCATACGCTCTCACGCGCTTGCACACACCCACACGGTTTCCCAGGGAAGAAGACACGTGACTTGAGTTCAGAAGCTTTTATCTGGTGCTTCGTGGCATAACTTTGCGCAGATCTGAACCGTTAGATTTATTTTAGCTCAATCTAATCCATTCGGATCCCAATCACAGCGATCCAATAGTGGTTTCCAGCTATTTGGAGCATTTCGGATACATTTGTATGGTCATATTATGCAAATTCTATATCAAAAATTTGCAAATTTATTATGGCAAGTTTGAGTTTGCCAAATATTATTCCAAAGCTCACCAAGGAGAATTATGAGAATTGGAGCATTCAGATGAGAGTATTGCTAATCTCACAAGATATGTAGGACTTAGTAGATCAAGGATATAAAGAGCCAAGAAGCCCAGAAGATGAAGAAAGGCTAAGCGAGACACAAAAAGCCGTATTGAAAGACTCAAGAAAGAAAGATCAGAAAGCCTTGTACCTAATTTATCAAGGAATTGACGAGTTAGGCTTTCAGAAGATCTCAACTGCAACTACTTCCAAAGAAACGTGGAATATTCTTCAACATTCACATTGAGGAATTAAAAAGACCAAGAGGATTCGACTCCAAGTATTAAGGGGGGAGTTCGAACTATTGCAAATGGAGGATAACGTGTCAATTTCAGAGTATTTTGTGTAGACTCTAACCATAGTAAATCAAATTAGATGATATGGAGATAAGAAGGAAGACATTCGAATAATTGAGAAGATACTTCGATCCCTAAGTTTGAAGTTTGAGCATGTCATCGTTGCCATAGAAGAATCGAAAGATTTCAATGACTTGACAGTTAAAGAGTTACAAGCAACATTGGAAATCCATGAGCAAAGGACAAACAAGAAGATTTACGTAAGTTCTCTAGACCAAGCTCTTCAAGCGAGTGTGACATTCAGGATAAACGGACAAAAGCAATGGAGAACACCGCAGAGCAGTGGTGGAAGAGGTCATGAACGAGGGAGGCATGGTCCCAAAAGGGGGGACAGAAGTCAAAAAATGGTTGACAGCTCCGAACAACAGATGGTTGCTTTGAGAGGAAGAAGTCAATGGAGAAGTGACAAGAGAGGACAACAGAGGGTTGTTCCACGAGGAAGAGGTCCTGACAGAGGACATGTATGTTGCTATAATTGCAATGAGTATGGCCACTACAAAAGTGAGTGCACAGAGGAGGTGCAATGCTACAACTGCAGAGGGTATGGGCACTACTGTCATGAGTGCATAGAGATCAAGTAAACTTTGTAGAGAATAGAGAAGAGATGTTGTTATTGGGATACGATGATGCTTTTAGCAAATTGAGTTTAAGGGGTGATGTTAGAAATCAAACTCAATTTAAGTTTAATAGTGATTTCTAGAAAAGAGATGAAGTTGCTGGAGAGTTCCAGAATGAAGAAGAGGTATTCAGAATGATATAGAAGAGAAGAGGCAACTTCTATGAGGTTGCCATGGTCGAAAACTTAAGGATGAAGAAACACTATAGCACACAAATTATACACGGGTTGGAGTCTATAAATAGATAGGTTGTGTGATTGTTATGTATAGAGTCGGAGAAATATACGTCTCCTATGACACCCTAGAAATTAGGAACATTAGATAATATATTAACAAATAAATACAGGGTTTATCTAAGATTACAAAATAGGAAACGTCACTAATGAGTCATTTGGTTAATAACCAAGTAAGATCCCATGAAGGTTGGAGGAATCAATATAGCCTCCCTTCAAAGTCTAACCACCTTAGATAGCAAAGCTACTTTTTTGACAGATCTTAATAAGATATTAACACAAGGTCTATATAAGTCGACAAAATAATACTAATAATAAATAGGTAATATAAAAGATATGTATAGATATAAAATAATTACAAAATCATGCCCTAAATACAACATAGGATCTATCACTTACAAATTTAAAACGTGTTTACATAACTAGTTCCCAATTCACATAGGGTAGCCATGCATCTTCAAATACTTCAGCTTGCCTTCGACCGGTCTAATAGTCTTCAATACCTGGCATGAAACGTCATGAGTTTTGAATGCCAAGTAAACGCACACACACCTCATCTCCTTTTTCCCAATTCAATACACAATAGCATTTACAACAATGAAGAAAGAAACCTGACATTTAAGTGGATAACAAAGGTTAAAAGGTTAGTGGTCAGTAAACTAGAAATCCTCCAAGGAAACTTCGTCATCCCAACCACAAGAATCGGACGCGGATTATTCGGTATGCCCTTTCTTTTGCTACTTTGTTGCAAAACTTGCCTCGAATGCTTACCAACGGTTATATAACACATAGCGCCAACTTCAGGGCCTCAAAAGAAACGGTAATAATAGGCCTTGCCCAAATCCCTCCTTACACCAAAATACCTAGGGTTCGAATACAACTGCTCCGTTCAAGGGTTTCAAAAACTATTTGCACAAGACTTTAACTTCCAAATTGGGAATGCATCCCGTCAACTAATCAATATCTTAGTAACTTGTCCAAAAATTCGCAAACCCATTGCCACCCATTAAGTTTCCCGTTTCAGTTAGATAATTTAAGTCAGAGTTAGCACATGCTCTTGAAACAACATCTATTGCACAATTATGAACAACTACATAGCACAAATGGAAGGAAATAAAGTTACAACACATGAGATTCACATATCAAGATAGGCACAAGTAGCTTTAGGCATATTCAAGTAGTTAAGAAAATATTTTCGCACAAGAATATAAATTTCTACATTTTCATAAGTGTGAGCACCATCAAAGGACTAAAATAAAAGGTACATAACCATTACATATGTAATCTCATACCAAGACATGACCATATGTTAATAAGCCCATTCATGAAGACGAGCATAAAATACCAATGAAAACAGAATTTCCAAATTCAGTACTACTTAAAGATTATACTCAAAAGGGCTATTTCAGATTTTTC